GTAGGTGGGCCCCGACCCCTCGGGCGGGAGCGCCGCCGCGCTTCCCAAGCGGCGCACTATCCAGTGCGCCACCAGGCCGGCCCAAGTCTGAATGACTTCTATAGCAACACTATAATTTTGAATATGTGATGAATTGTTTCTTTGAAAATTACATTATTGTCCTACATTTCTGTCATGCTTTTACACTTTACATATATTATTGCCTTTGATCTTCACAGCTGTTGAGGAGCAACCAATTATCTTTCCTATTTGACAAAGAAACAACTGAAGTTCCTTTGAACTGGTATGTTACAGGGCCACTTTTGATTTAATTTAAGTGCTCTCTCTACCACTCTATGCTGAGGGTTAGGTAACTATCTTGGAAAGAGTAACAGATGATACTACATTTCACATGGTTGTCACAAGAATTAAATGAAACTACATGTGTATCGTGCTCAGCTAATACGTAATGGTGCAAGAAATATTAGTTTCCTTTCTCTCAATGCATGTATTCCATCTACTGCCTACTGTAAAAAAAGAAATTTATTCTATCACTGATATTATATATAAATGGTCACAACCCAACTTCAAAAGTTAAAGAGCAAGAGAACAGGGGCAGTTTTAAAAGGTCTAAGAATATTTCCTATGTTTTAAAATGATTGGCACTTACTCTATTTTGCAGCAGGGAACATTATGAATTAGCTATCACAGATAACACATATAGATACAACCTGGATTTTTCGAGCCTTTATTTTTGAATGCCCTTTCAAGACAACCGCATGAGTGTGTGCATATGTATGTATATGGGTACACATTTATGTGTTCATATATACTGACAGATGAGTAGAAAAACGTTAGAAAGGAAACTAGTTAAGGTACGTGTGGGTGTGGAGTGATTAGGGTAGAGGGAAATCACTTTTTCCTTTATATTTTTCTACACTGTGAATAATTCTTTTGTAATTGTTTAGGTGTACAAAACTTCTGAATGAATTTATACATTACAGTGATATAAAGATATTTTAAAATTTAGGTTTAAAAGGAGAAACATTTTATTACACGTAGTATTTCACGTTTTAAAAAATATTTTCTATTATTGTATGGTTTTAAAATTACAACTAATTCAAATGTAAATACAAAAGAAAAATGTGCAAAAAATATGTACCTTCAAGTGAAAGTTAAATTCAACATACCTGGAAATCTACAGCCCTTTTATTTGCTAGGTCAGCCTTGTTTCCTGATAAAGCTATTACAATGTTAGGACTTGCTTGCCTCTGAAGTTCTTTAACCCAGTTTTTTGCTCTTGCAAATGACTCCTGTTAAACAAAGAAACAGCTATTTGGCACAGGCTCAAAAAATGTTTAGGAAGAATCTTTGTGAGATAAGACTTTAAAAGAAAGTCCAATGTGACTGTAAACTCTTAGAACTACTGTATTTGTTGAAGTATTTACATCTTATTTTTTTAAAATCAGATTTTCTAACTCTCAAAAACTCTGGCATAAAGGTCATGACTATCAACAAAAAGATTTTTTAAAAATCTAAGCGAAATTCTAAATACCAAAGATGTATATTCAAACTAGGTCCATTACAGAATGCATTTGTACTTACCTCATTTGTGATATCATATACAACAATGGCTGCTTGTGCTCCTCTGTAGTACATTGGTGCTAGGCTATGGTATCGTTCTTGACCAGCTGTATCCCATATTTCAAACTTTACCGTTGTGTCATCAAGACACACAGTTTGGGTTAGAAAAGCAGCTGAAAGAAAATGTCTGCAATAAGTTCATTTTTCCCCAGATGTTTTCATAATAGAGAAAACACCTGGAAACATGATATATTGTATACCCACAGTCAACAGTGGCTTTAAATACTTGCAAAATCTGTTTCAAAGCTAGATACATAGATACTTACATATAAGATCCTTGCAGTAAAATCACAGATTGAAAAGGTTTTTTCACATTAAAAAATTTTTTGTTATAATAATAAATAAGCTTAAAACTGCCTTTACAAATTGCTTTATAACTTAAGAAATGTATACGATATTCCTGAAAAATGGGGGGAAAAAGCCCCAGTATACTTATTAATAGATCTGCAACATAACCAGCGCCACTTTAGACAAGCCCAAGTACAAAATGGTGTCGTCTACCTCCTCCCCTCCCTCCCCCCTTCCCTTTACGAGAAGCCTCCTGACTTAAACAGAAACCCCTTTTGCTTCCACAAGGAGGGCAGTTCTCCACCCTGATCCACATTATCATAATGACCCTCCCTGATGGTATCAGCCAGCCCTTGGTGCACCATATAAGCTCTACCACCCCCACACCTGGTGCTGGCCCCCATTTTCAGGGCAGCCCAGGGCTGTTCCCCACTTTGGGCACAGCCCAGCAGATTCTTTTCCTTTAATAAAGCTTGAACAGTACCTGACATCTCCACTTTCTTTCACTTATAACCACCATCTACATTGCCAACACCAAGCCCTGTTCCATTCTCCTGGTTTTTATGATTTAGTCTGATGATTTAGTCCCAGTCCGTTATCTTTTAAAACATTATGACACTTAAATTTTGGTAATCGTTATTACCTCAACCAAGATTTGTTAAACATATTCAATAGTCAATCCTACGTCTTTGACTCCTTGCCATAAGAATCTTTTGGATTTATACTTTTTCATCTGTGCTTTTCTCTAATTTTAACATTAAGAAAGTATCATTATAAAATGATACTTTATTGTTAAAAATTAAAAGACTCCCACATAGCCAATTTCAGCAGCATGCTGACAGCAACCATACCTTGCAAATTCCTCTCCTCCATTAACTTTGGTTACTTGGACCCCTGCTGGTGCCCTATCATTCACTGTAAATTAGTATGTTCCTCCCCTTTCTTTTTACTTTCACCTCACGGTGTGATAGTCAAACCCTTTAATTGGTATGGACTCGAATTACAAAATTTTTGAAAACTCCAACCTATCATGCAAGAGAATTATGATCCATTTCTCTAAACTGTAGCAGTTTATCTAGTTATGCCAATCTTTCATAAGAGATTATAAATTACAATAACAACAAAAGTGCTGAATAAGCCAAGTCTAATTAGATATATCTTTTATATTAGAGATGACATTTATTTTTCATGTTATTTTTAGGTTACCTGGTTGCTGGCTTTAGTGCCAGCAACTAAAATCTTCTGAATTTTGCAAATATTACAATCGGAAATGTTTTTATTTTGAGCTAGATCCTAGTGAACAGTACTATAAATTTTCACAAGTAGATAGTCATATTTTATGACTAATAAATATAAATATATTCTAATTCAGTTTAAACTTCTTTTTCCAAACAAAATTAGCAGAAATATCCATTTTCTAAAATCCTGTATTTATGGTAAAGGATACCCAGAAAGCACTACTGTACTTTTTCACTGTCATAAAAGGTTCTCCTATAGAATCAAAAAATATTTTTGAAAATGTAAAATTGTGTTCCTAAGGCAGAACTCCTTTTTCAATAAAAAGGAAAAGAGGAAAAGGGTGGATGACTAGACCCTTGTGAGGGACTGGTTCCAGGACCCCCTGCACATACCAAAATTTGCAGAACCTCAAGTCCCTTATATAAAATGGCATAGTATAAGGGGTCTTCAAAAAGTTCACAGAAAGATCCATACTATCTTTTAATTCTATTTTCCACAAACTTTTTGAAGCACCTTAGTATTTGCATATATCCTATGCACATCCTCCCGTATACTTTAAATCATCTCTAGATTACTTGTAATACCTAATCCAAATGCAAATAGCTGTAATTTTTATTTGTATTTTTTTAAATTGTGATATTGTTACCTTTCATTTTTTTTCCTGAATATTTTCAATCCATGAGTGGTTGAATCAATGGACACAGAACCCATAGACACAAAGGGTTGATTGCATAAGCCTTTTCTTAAGTATGGTTTGAAGCAAACTTGGAAAAAAAATTTACAATTTGCATTCAGACATTGCTTTCTCTTTTAAGACATATGACCCTAAAGTGCACTCCCGTAAAAACATTCATTTATACTTCCATAAATCAACTCTGGGCTTAGGGAAATAACTTAGTTATTACGCTGCCATAAAAAAACATGATCTGATTCTCAAATCAGTCAAAGATCTCACAAAAGGCCACCAATTCTTTTTATAAATATATGTACGAAAATGCCAAATAAAATACAGGCAAAGAAATTTCAAAAAATACACTAAAAGAACAACAGCCCAACTAGAGATTCTTTCAGAAATACAAAGCTATTATACAAATATGCTAAAAAAGAAAAATCATTTTTATTTGAATAAATTACAAAAGGGCACTTGAGTTAAAATCCATTCCTAATAAACACAGGATTCTTCCTTTAAATTTAGAAAGTGTCCCATCCTTAAACCTGAAATCAACAGTATGCTTAATGAAGTTCTCAGGTATTCTCTCTAAATCTAGGAATAAAACAAGAATTTCCACTATCACCCTAATTAATATCGTTCCATATATACTTATTACAATAATTCTAAAAAGCAATTATCAGAAAGAGACATTATTTGAAAGAGGCAAGACTGTCATGAAAATCCAAAGGCATGAGCTAAAATAAAACAGGTAATGAGTTCTCTAATTTGGCTGGAACAGACTCGTCAACAGCCCTACAATAAACTGGCAATAACCAGGGGAAAACATTTTCAAAGGGGAATGAATCCCAATCCTACAAACAAAAATAATCAATTTATTCTTCAACTCCGCTTAGAAACTCTCCTTCATCCCACCCTAGTTAGTATCTCCTACTCTGTGCTCTCAGAGTTCCCTGTGGAATAACATGCTTCACACCTTTTATAATCACTGGTTTATATATTTTTTGTCTCTTAGTCATTTCTCAAGGAACTCACAGTCTATTAGCTTTTTTCTATATCCAGCATCTAATATAAATCTTAGTTCATGCAGAAGTTCAAATATGTCTCCTGAAAGAATGAAGTTCATAAGAGATATGTGAAACATTTAGGAGCTATTTTAGATAACATTTGAATAGAGAGAGACAATACCCAAATGAGAAAAAAAATAGGTATTTCAAAAGGCCTCTACTCAAGTTATTATATGACTAACACAATTTTAAAAAACCATTAAGATATTTTTAACTTGGTAACACTGTACTATTGTTCATGTGGTACAATAAACAGAGCATACTTTTGAGAGGAGAAAAGATCAATATTAGAGGCCTGGGGAAATGAGTTTTCCAATATATCAAAAACAATGAAAAGTGCTGCAACATCACAAGGACAGAAATATCACTGGAAAGTGATAGCCAAGTACTATAATAAACTCTTGATATAACTAATATGCCTCAAGACCTTCAAGACCCCCCAGAGTTCTCAAGTTTTCAAATACTACTACTAGTGTTTATTAACTTCCCTATCAAATTCAGTGAAGTATAACTGACATTTAAGTGACATCTTCAAATCCTTAGTGCTCCTAAAAATACATTACTAGTCATTTGTAAAGATATAAAAATAAATTCTGCCACTCAAAATATAAACTACGACATCAATACCATAGCAACATTAACCAATCATAAACTTACCTCAATCTGCAAAACCACTTTAATTTATCCAAAACGTCTATTTTCTGGCTAAGAACCATCTTAGACCTCTTCTTTTTCTCTTCACTTCCATCACCAGCACTAGCAGTTGGTTTTCTTTTCGGGACCATATTTCATAAAGAAACAGCTTTTATCACTTCGAGAGTTACTGCGTACCGACCGACGACAAGTAGAGAAAAACAAAGCTGCGTTGAGATGTGGGTGCTGGCCTGTCTGACAGGCTCCCTCTTTGAGCTACTTGGTCAGCTCCTATTTGCAAGCCTGGCAGCAAGCAAGTAACATTTCAGCCTCAGCAAAACTACAAACTACTTTTTCATAGACCTTGGGGTCAGTTGAGAATAGCTGAAACTGTAAATGTTAAATCTGCAAATACCAAACTCCTATAATATGTAAGATGCTAATAAATAATAAGCAAGGAGGAGACATTGCAATATACTGGGCAAGGGAAAAAATATCCAAATCAATGGCATTAGACCAAAGATTAACAATTAAAGAAAGTTAAACCCCTCCTACAACAAAATTGATTCTAAATGAATTAAACAGAGGATGGAAAAATGGAAAAACCGAGAAACCAATACTAGTACAACCTCCAACTTATTCACCAAATTGAATAGGAAAGAATTACCAGAACTGACTAAAAATTCTATACAAGACATCAGGGGTTTGATTACACAAAAATTTGAGACTTCATGTTTGCAAAACTTATGTTTGCACATCCAATCCACAGGGTAAACACACTGAAAAAAATATTCTACAGTGGATTAATATTTTAAAACACATAAGACTCGTATAAATCTCTTTTTTTAGTTTTAAGGAAATACTTTAAAAGCCTCAAGGATAAATGTGTAAATACAATTGTCAAAAGGACTGTAACAACATCAAAAAAGTAGTCAACATCATTAGTAATCAACAAAATCATCCACACAGCAAAAATAATTTTTATCTTCTAAGTTAGCAAAATATAAAAAGAGCAGATGACAAAAACCCACGCACTGTTGATGATGCTGTACAACTCTACTGGAAAGAATTTTGTCAACATGTAGCAAAAATGCTGATACTTGTTAACCTAATAATCTCATGGAATCTCTAAAAGATGGTGTGGGGGCAGAAAAGTAGGGAGAACAAATCTTTATGCTCAAAGAATTTAAAAATATTTAACAATTAAAAACAACCT